AATTTTCGATTTTGTGTTGTTTCAAAATCTTCTTCTGAATTAGAAAGACTCACCAGATAGACGATTTTTACCACCAATTGTTTTACCATCAGATAATTTTTTTCTTCCATGTTGACGTTTTATTGTTTCTAATGCTCGTTTCATTCTTTTGCTAAAATGATTCAAGTCTTCGATTTTTTTTATTTCTTTTCCTAAAATTGCAGAACAGTTAGAGCATACTTTAATTTAGAAAAAAAAATTCTCAAATCAAATATATATATTATACCTGGATAAGGTACGATTTTTGAAAGCACTGGAAAAGTTTTTGAATCACCATCACCAACGTACTTAGTATAGTAAACTCCATATTTTGAAACTGATCGTTTGAACATAATAAGAATAGCAGCAGATTCCATTGTTCCGGAGCTTTTTTCATAATTTTTTTCACATCGATGCGATTTAATAATTTTATCATATTTAGCTGGATCGGATTTTTTAATAGACAGTGCACCTAAAACAGAGCATACAATCAAGAAAAAGAAAAAAGAGACTTACCCATGCAAGTATTGCATGTTTTACTGCATGTTTCTATATCCAGTACTTTTGGTGTTGCATTACAAGATATAAGAGCAGCTGCACCATGTCTGCTTTGGAAATCTCGAGTCTGCCAGAATCCATCTCCACTAACCATTAATTCTGTACCATTTTCAGCAGCTACAGTTTCCTCTATTGCTTTCTTCATTGATCTTTCGGTGAATGATTTTACCATAATTAGTAAATCTCTATCCCATTTGGAATATCTTTCATCTTGAATGGGACTCGGTAAATTCATAGCACCCATTAATTTCACCAATCCAGCATGTCTGATACCACATAAATGACCAGCTATTTGTGATCTTACGTTGATGTCTCGGCGATCTGATGCAACAACCTTCGGACTTGTTTCTAAAAATAAATTGAAAAAAAATTTTGAATACATCAATAAAATGCAGAGGGCTTCGATAGTTAGAAATATTCACTTACCAATGGTGATGATCTTTTGACATATTGAACATTGAAAAGACAATATCAGGAATAAACCTTCGCGTTTGTTGATGTTCATCATTCCATTCCACCGATTTCCACAACCTTCACAATTTGTGTTACACATAAAAGAAAATAATACTTGGTTTTGTATTATTGAGTATCCATCCATAGGCACGTTTGAATCTGACTTTGACGATATTGATGTTATATCTAACTTCATTTTTTTTGTAATTTTCTTTTGTGATGGTAAAGACGAACATGTTGAAGATGTATTTAGATTTGATGTTGTAGTTTGTGTTGTTGATATGTTATTCGATTGTAAAGATGATGTTTCTATTCGTATATTTTGAATGTTTCGCTTCGATGTTTTTCGTTTACTGCATCTAGTATTAATTTTTTTTTATTATAATAAGAATAATTATCAAATTAAATTTTTTTCCTTCTACATAGAATTAGTTACAACATTCAATAATTTCAGATAGAGAATAGGTATACAGACTAGTTATATAAGAATAAAAATTTGTTTGATATCACATACCGTTTTACGCTTCTTTTATTGGCCATAATGTTTCAATCAATAATTCTTGAAAAAAAATGTGATAATAAATCAAGTATAGAATCTAAAAAAAGTATTTAAAAAATCAAAATCTGGACTCGTTTATTTATGTTTTGAACACACACTAATATCATCATATACTGATAAAAAAGACAAACAAACGTGGTACACGTTCTTGTATGTTTAGGACATAACTGGAAATTAGAGAAAACGAAAAAAAAAATTTCAAGAGCGAAGAAAAGTAAAACAAAGAAAAGGCATCGCAAAACGATGTGTTCTAGTGTGATCGATACATTTCATAAGAATTAGTCATTTGTTACACTATGTTTGTCTTTTCTTTCTTTCTCTCTGATAACAATGACACATCATAAATGCTGGTTTATGATATAGCGATACAATATACTTGTAATAGCTATCCTTTTCAGTAAACAAAAAAAGAATGAGACAATGTATAGTTAATGATAGCAGTACTCTTTCGAGCAAGTCGACCATGAAGCTGTCGGTACAAGTAAAATACTTTTTTTAATGATGTTCAACATGCCATACAAAGTTCTAGTTATGCAAAATTGAAAATTATATAGATAATGTTAGTCAGTTTCTTCAAATAAATGAAAAAAATTGCTAAAAATGATAAAATATCAAAAAAAATTTTCGAAAAAATCTTTTTCGTTTTTTCTCAGTTTGCACTTTCCAAAAAGCGCATCCAAAATTTCTCCTCCCCGGTTCGTTCAATATATTAATATTTTTTTTTGTTTGAAAGGCCGTCTCGAGGCGGAGTACATGGTGGGACCCGATTTTTTAATTAAGCCTTTGTTTGGTCAACATACAGCCAATTATATGATTTAGTTACCATTTTTTGACACTTTTTTCAGCCATTGAACTTGTGATCTCTTTTTTGCGCTTAAAAAAACCTACTTCAAAAAAAGGCTCCCAACATGCACTCCGCCTTGAGACGGCCTTTCAAACAAACAAAAAAATTAATATATTGAACTAACCAGGACCGAGAAATTTGGGATGCCAAATGAGTCATTTTTGACACTTGTTTTGTTCATATCTCCCTGAAACCTAAAGATTTTGGGCTGAAAATTTTATGGTAGTCTTCCCTTTCTAGCACCAACATATCCTGAAAGTTTCATCTTATTTGAATGTTCCTGGGCTGAAATCGATTTTTGAGGGGGGGGGGCTTAAGTAATTACTCTTGAGCCTTGTCGATAGACATCGCGAAGGCAAGACATACAGCAAATTGAAGACGCTTGAATTCAAACGGTATATCTGTAAGAACCATGAATATTCATGGTGTGAATACATGCTCACTCTTTGGGCACCCTGTCAACATTATTTTTCTTATCGTACATTAGAGATAGAGATTATAGAATTTCCAATTTTCACAACCTGGGTGGCATTACATTCGATTACCTTCCTTTCCTTGTCTGTCGCGCCAATCTGCTCTCAATTTTTCTCTCCGCTAAAGAGTATATCATGGAAATTTTGATGGCGCTAGTTATTACCGAAATCAAATGTACAAACAGCAGACAGACAANCACATCGATGCGATCTAATAATATTATCATATTTAGCTGGATTGGATTTTTTAATAGAAAGGGCACCTAAAAAAAAGAGTATCCAATCAAGAAAAAGAAAAAAGAAACTCGCCCATGCAAGTATTGCATGTTTTACTGCATGTTTCTATATCCAGTACTTTTGATGTTGTGTTACAAGATAAAAGAGCAGCCGCACCATGTCTGCTTTGAAAACCTCGAGTCTGCCAGAATCCATCTCCACTAACCATTAATTCTGTACCATTTTCAGCAGCTACAGTTTCCTCTACTGCTTTCTTCATTGATCTACCGGCGAATGATTTTACCATAATTAGTAAATCTCTATCCCATTTGGAATATCTTTCATCTTGAATGGGACTCGGTAAATTCATAGAACCCATCAATTTCACTAATCCAGCATGTCTGATACCACATAAATGGCCACCTATTTGTGATCTTACGTTGATGTCTCGGCGATCTGATGCAACAACCTTCGGACTTGTTTCTAAAAATAAATTGAAAAAAATGTTGGATACATCAATAAAATGCAGACGGATTCGATAGTCAGAAATATTTACTTAACAATGGTGATGATGTTTTGACATATTGAACATTGAAAAGATAATATCAGGAATAAACCTTCGCGCTTGTTGATGTTCATTTTTCCACGTCAACGATTTCCACAAGCTTCACAATTTGTCTTACAAATAAGAGAAAATAACACTTGATTTTGTATTATTGAATATTCATCCAATGGTACGTTTGAATCTGATTTTGATGATGTAGATATTATATCCAACTTCGTTTGTTTTTTAATCTTTTGTTGTGATGGTAAAGACGAACGTGTTGAAGATGTAGTTAGATTTGATGTTGTAGTTTGTGTTGCTGATATGTTTTTCGATTGTAAAGATGATGCTTCTATTCGTCTATTTGGAGGCGTCCGTATCGATGTTTTTCGTCTACTGCATCTAATATTAAAATTTTTTTATTATAATAAGAATAATTATCAAATCAAGATTTTTTTTCTTCTAGAATTAGTTACAACATTCAATAATTTCAGATAGAGAATCGTTCTACATACTAGTTATATAAGAATAAAAACTTGTTTGATATAACATACCTTTTTAAGTTTTTTCTATTGGACATGATGATTCAATCAATATTTCTTGAAAAAAAAACTGATAATAAATCGAATATAGAATCTAAAATAGTTATTTATAAAATCAAAATCTGGACTCATTTATTTATTTTTTGAACATACACTAATAGCATCATATACTGATAAAAAAGGCAAACAAACGTGGTACACGTTCTTGTATGTTTAGGACGTGACTGGAAATTAGAGAACACGAAAAAAAAAATTTCAAGAGTGAAGAAAAGCAAAACAAAGAGAAGGCATCGCAAACGATGTGTTCTAGTGTGATCGATACATTTCATAAGAATTAGTCATTTGCTACACTATTTTTGTCTTTTCTTTCTTTCTCTCTGATAACAATGACACATCATAAATGCTGGCTTATTATATAGCGATACAATATACTTGTAATAAGTATCCTTTTCAGTAAACAAAAAAAAATGAGACAATCTATAGTTAATGTTAGCAGTACTTTTTCGAGCAAATCGACCATCAAACTGTCGGTATAAATAAAACATTTTTTTTAAAGATGTTCAACATTCCATAGAATGTTCTAGTTATAAAAAATTGAAAATTATATAGATAATGTTAGTCAGTTTCTTCAAATAAACGAAAAAAATTGCTAAAACTGATAAAATATCGAAAAAAAATTTCGCAAAAATCTTTTTCGTTTTTTCTCAGTTTCCACTTTCCAAAAAGCGCATCCCAAATTTCTCGGTCCTGGTTCGTTCAATATATTAATATTTTTTTTTGTTGGAAAGAGCATCTCAAGACGCAGGGCACACGGAAGCCGCTTTTTTGAAATAGTCCTTTTTTAAGCGCAAAAAAGGGATCAAAAGTTCAATGACTGAAAAAAGTGTCAAAAAATCGTAACCAAATCATATAACTGGCTGTATATNGAACTGGAAGCAGTAATCCGACCGGAAAGTTTTTCGGATTTTTCCAATGAATTCCAACCGTTTTCTGCTGGAAGGCACATGGTTGTGACTGCAATCCACTGAAACAAGTCCAGCAAATCTCCAATTGGAATACTGCTTCCACTTCCGACGATTTTCGATGCTTTCCTGCTGGAATCAGCCCGCCTTTTTCGACCCGGGAGTGAGAAAAATAATAGTAGAAGTTGTTAAGAGCTCATACTGTACGAGCCAGTGTGACATTAGAAACTAATTGGAGTAACTAATAAGGGTCTTGACTAATAAATAGGATCCTGAGAATGTCAAAAAGTTTTTATAAGGTCCTAGTAGGATCTAACAGGATCCAGTAGAATCCAAAAGGATCCATAGGATCCAAAAGGATCCATAGGATTCAAAAGGATCCATAGGATCCAGCAGAATCCACAGGATCCATAGGATCCGAGGATCCAGGATCCGCTTTTTCCCCCTTGGTCAGAATCCATCTCCACTAACCATTAATTCTGTACCATTTTCCGCGGCTACAGTTTCCTCTACTGCTTTCTTCATTGATCTTCTAGTGAATGATTTGACCATACTTAGTAAATCTCTATCCCATTTGGAATATCTTTCATCTTGAATGGGACTCGGTAAATTCATAGCACCCATCAATTTCACTAATCCAGTATGTCTGATACCACATAAATGGCCACCTATTTGTGATCTTACGTTGATGTCTCGGCGATCTGATGCAACAACCTTCGGGCTTGTTTCTAAAAATAAATTGAAAAAACTTTTGAATACATCAATAAAACGCAGAGGGCTTCGATAGTTAGAAATATTCACTTACCAATGGTGGTGGTGTTTTGATATATTGAACATCGAAAAGATAATATCAGGAATAAACCTTCACGTTTGTTGATGTTCATCATTCCACTCCACGGATTTGCACAACCTTCACAATTTGTGTTACACATAAGAGAAAATAATACTTGATTTTGTATTATTGAGCATCCATCCATAGGTACGTTTGAATCTGACTTTGACGGTATCGATGTTATATCCAACTTCATTTTTTTTGTAATCTTCTGTTGTGATGGTAAAGACGAACGTGTTGAAGACGTAGTTAGATTTGATGTTGTAGTTTGTGTTGTTGATATGTTATTCTATTGTAAAGATGATGTTTCTATTCGTTTATTTTGAACCATCTGTATCGACGCTTTTCGTCTACTGCATCTAGTAGTAAATATTTTTTTATTATAATAAGAATAATTATCAAATAAAATTGTTTTCATTCTACATAGCATTACTTACAACACTCAATAATTTCAGATAGAGAATCGTTCTACAGACTAGTTATATGAAAATAAAAAATTGTTTGATATCACATACCGTTTTTGCGTTCTTTTTATTGGACATGATATTTCAATTAATAATTCTTGAAAATAAACTGTGATAATAAATCACATATAGAATCTAAAAAACTTATTTATAAGATCAAAATCTGGACTCGTTCATTTATTTTTTGAACACACACTAATATCATCATATGCTGATAAAAAAAGACAAACAAACGTGGTACACATTCTTGTATGTTTAGGACATGACTGGAAATTAGAGAACACGAAAAAAAAACTCAAGAGCGAAGAAAAGCAAAACAAAGAAAAGGTATCGCAAACGATGTGTTCTAGTGTGATCGATATATTTTATAAGAATTAGTCGTTTGTTACACTATTTTTATCTTTTCTTTCTTTCTCTCTGATAACAATGACACATTATAAATGCTGGTTTATTATATAGCGATACAATATACTTGTAATAAGTATCCTTTTTAGTAAACAAAAAAGAATGAGACAATGTATTGTTAATGTTAACAGTACTTCTTCGACCAAGCCGACCATGAAACTGTCGGTACAAGTAAAATAATTTTTTTAATGATGTTCAACATGCCATACAAGGTTCTAGTTATGAAAAATTGAAAATTATATGAATAATGTTAGTCAGTTTCTTCAAATAAACGAAAAAAATTGCTAAAAATGATAAAATATTGAAAAAAGTTTTCGCAAAAATCTTTTCGTTTTTTCCCAATTTCCACTTTCTCAAAAGGGCATCCCAAATTTCTCCTTCCCGGTTCCTTCAATGTATTAATATTTTTTGTTTGTTTGAAAGAGCATCTCAAGGCGCAGGGCATGACGTGGCCCTTTTTTAAAATTAGGCCGTTGTTTGGTCAATATACAGCAAGTTATGTGATTTTGCTACCATTTTTTGACACTTTTTTGAGTCATTGAACTTGTGATCCATTTTTTGCGCTTAAAAATGGACTATTTAAAAAAAGAGTCACGTCATGCCCTGCGTCTTGAGATGCTCTTTCCAACAACAACAAAATATTAATATATTGAACGAACGAGGACAGAGAAATTTGGGATGCCAAATGAGTCATTTTTTACCCTTGTTTGGCTCATATCTCCCTGAAACCTGAAAATTTTATGGTAGTCTCTCATTTCTAGCCCCAATATATCCTGAAAGTTTCATTTAATTTGGATGTTCCTGGGCTGGGATCAATTTTTGAGTGGGGGGGGGG